ATTTACTTATTTATGCAAACAGAACTGGGGTGCAAGCCAGAAGTGCAGGGGCAGTGAGAGGATTCACCAGAGACAGAGTGGGGAGCAGAACAGGAAGATCGATGAAGGTCACAGCTGTGGGGAGCAGAGGGTGGTCAGGAGAGGTCTGCCATGCCATGTGGGTCACCTCCAGGGTCGGGGCTCGAACTTGTGCTGAAGCAGCTGCTGCTCCTTTGCAGTAGTGTGTCCTAACCCATTGTGCCACCAGGGAGGGCCAGCAATATTTTTTAAGTGAACAAGGTACCATATACTGAGATAGGCAGTGAAAATACAATGGTGAACCACAGTCACAGTCACACAACAGTTGTTTCTCTCAGGAAACTTAATCCAAATGTGACATTCCTGATAAACAATGAAGAAAGGGGGCCCTCCCTAGTGGCTCAGTGGGTTGAAGCACAGCATTAAGAAGTTAAAGCCACTTCAGCATGAGTTTGATCCCTGCCCTGAGGTGATCCACATAGTACAGACCTCTCCTGACCTACGCACTGTTCCCCTCAGCAGTATATTTGGTAGATCTGCCTGTTCTGCTCCCCACTCTGTCTCTGGTGAATCTTCTCACCGCCTCTGCACCTCTGGCCTATACCCCAGTTCTGTATGCATAAATAAATAAATCTTAACAAAAAAAGAATGGATACAGGAAGCATTTTTTCATGAGAATATGAGCTTGCTTCTTAAATCAGAATATAGGAAAATTTAAAAATTAAAATTATAGTGATTGTCTATACTAACAATCCTGGTAAATGTCCTCTAGACCAGTATTCCTTAAACAGATAGGGGTGAGAAAAGGAGCACTAGTAACATTTTGAATGAAACATTGTCCAGGATATTACTGTACTGCAAAATGTTTAAAAGGCCTAGCTTCTAGCTGATTAGTGTCAGTGTCTAATCTTAATCACTATGACAACTAAATGTGCCTACTATGCCAAATGCCCCCTGGAGGGGGAGATCCTGCCTTGTTAGAGAACTCTGCTTTAGACAACTGGATATAAGAGTGTACATACTTTAGATAAAAGAACAATAATAGGCATACCTTGAATAACAAGTCTCCAACTTGTTCACAACCTATTAAATAAATGCAAGACCTCCTGTTTCTATCTGCCCCACATTTTCTGTCACCATCAAAGACAATAAAGCTGTTCTGGATTGACAAATCCTAATGGTCATCATCAAGGGGAAATGTTCAAAATGAAATTTATCTGGTGTCAGATATAGCTATGTTCAAGGGATCAAATGCAGGTAATTTCTTCAATGGGTACATAGAATATTTTATTGAAGTTTTTTTTGTCTCTCCTTTCACTTACAAATTTATTTTCTTAATAAAAATCAACTATCTCTTCACATCTTTTTTTAATTAAAAAAGTCTATACTAAGCCAATAGTTAGCAAATACCCTCACTAAAAAGGGAAAATGATATCTTTTGAAATAAAATAGTTAAAATGAAGACACAGTCATTATCAATAATCTCTAAAAGTCATAGATATGTTCAGGACTGTCCTTAAAGTCATTATAATTATCTAGCAAATTATAAATATTGTAGCAACATAATATGCAGTATCAAAATGTAAAACAATAATACAAAAATTTATTTAATGTTATTTGTAGAACATTTTCTTTTAATTTATTTCTATAATTTTAACCATGTAATTTTTATCAGTTTTATTATGAAAGTTAAAACTTAAATATGCATTTGAAGAAAATGGGCACAACTAGTCATCTGTAAATTATGCAACTTCCACTAAATTATTTCTGGTCTATGATTCTCTGAATCTATAATGTTGAATAAAATGTTATAGATTTTTGGACTTACAAAATGAAATTTGGAGTGATATCTGATTACGAGGTATAGTCAACCTAAATACATAAAGGCTATATGTTGGCATTAATGACTAACAAATATTGACTTTTTGCTACATAGTAGTCAGTAATTGTTTGACAAGGAGCAATTTTTCCAAATGCACAAGTGCATCATGAATATATTTGTCTTTTCTATTTCTAAATTTAGACATTTTTAAAATTTTTGTATGAAATTTTAAGGATACTTGGCCACTTAAGAAAATATTCTTGCAAAGTTCCATCCTCATTTTTGTTACCTGAAATTTAGTAAAACATAAATTACCTTTTAAACCATACTCCTTTTTATTACTAAATAAATTGACCATTAGAATATGAGTTGACTAATAAATGCCTAAAAATAGATGACTGGATCAAGAAGATATGGTACACACACACACACACACACACACACACACACACACAGAGTGGAATATTATTCAGTCATCATAAAAGATAAACTCATGCCATTTGCAGCAACATGGATGGAACTAGTGAAATAAGCCAGAAAGAAAAAGAAAAATACCAGATGGTTTTACTCATAGCAGAAGTGTAAGGGATCAAAGAAATTATACATATATATATATATATACACACACACACACATACACACTGTAAGTGTAATAAAGTAAAAAAAGAACAGTAACTAACAACTATAAATCAGAGTCAATCTATGGGGGGGGAGAGGGGAACAAGATCAAAATTGGTGTGGGAAGAGCACAGTGGACTATGGTGGTGGCACATGGGTGAAGTGGTAGTGGGAAGTCGACATGGATTACAACTGAGATGAAAAAATGTACAAAATGAAGAATTATATAAAAATGGTATTTATAAAATAAAAAAGTGTGACCTAAAACATGTATCCTAAAATCACCCTCAAAAGAAAACTTTTAGACTATAAGATAAATTAGTCTTTACCTGAAGGAACTAAGATTGGTGGGTAAATTAGGTAAAAGAGTCCATTGATGAAGTATAGAATTAAGATGTATATACTTAATGTAGTATACACAGACATTGACTTACATTTGATGCACATCTGAAACTTACAGAATGTTATAATGCAATGTTAGTTCAATTAAGTTTTTAAAATCCTGTCCTCTCCTAGGTCCCTGGTATGTGCCAGCGCCTCAGAAGAAAACACTTAAGATATTGAAAGCATTTTATCCAAGAGGTAGCATCATAAATGTGAAAATTAATACAGGAAAGTCAATCAAGACAACCAGAATAAACCCAGACCACATGATTTTCTACTGAGAGTACACTGCCTGGGAGTAATTGTCAAACCAGGAAGGGAAGATAAAGGCTAATAAAATTTATTTAAAATAAAATTTTGGCAGACTTAGATCTAGATGATTCCTCAATTAAAAGAAGAAAAGCTTAGAAACAACTTTTAAAATAATAGATAGGTAGGATAGAAAGAAAGAAAATAAGAAGGAAGCATTTGCTCCAAAAGCTTTAACTAATTTATTTGTTATGTAAAGGACCAGCATATAAAGTAAATTCTACAGCTAAAAACTTGGATGAACATTCCTGACCTACAGTAATAATTTTAAAAGTAACTAGGGCGTGTAACTCTTACTGTGTTCCAGACACTATAAGATCATTTAGTCATCCTGCTATCCTGAAATGAGATTCTATTATTATCATCTCCAATGTACAATTAAGAAAACCAAAGCACAGTGACATCAAGTAGCCAGTTCACAGATAGTGACTGAGCCAGAATGAAAAGCAGACAACTTGACTCCAGGGAGGATGTCCTTCATGCTTTACCCTTTGCCAAAAGGTACTGAGAATGAGGAGGAGGCAGGAGAGGCACAGAGGAAAAAAATATATATATATCCTCTTGAGATAAATACAAGCACAATCAAAGATGCACACTCTTCTTTTTCTGAAAATGAGTAAGAAGATCAAAGACTCAGAAGTGGTTAAGAGTATGTGACTGAGAGATGAAACACCTCTGGCTGACATTTTCTCAGCAGTCCTACAACATCTGAGTCAGTTTTCTCTCTGAGTCGAAGAAGGTGGTAGAGTGGATGGATTCTGATGGATATGGAAGAAGCTAAGCAATTTTTTTTTAAATATTTATTTATTCATACAGAACTGGGGTACAGGCCAGAGATGCAGAGGGTGAGAGGATTCACCAGAGATAGAATGGGGAGCAGAACAGGCAGACTGTCGAAGTACACTGCTGAGGGGAGCAGTGGGTGGGTCAGGAGAGGCCTGCCTCGCCATGTGGTCACCTCCGGGGGCAGACGGGGATCGAACTCATGCAGAAGTGGCCTAAGCTTCTCCGTGCTGCGCTTTAACCCACTACGCCACCAGGGAGGGCCGAAGCTAAGCGATTTTATTTCAAAAATCCAGTTTAGGGGCTCTCCCTGGTGGTGCAATGGGTTAAAGCACCGCATTATGAAGCTCTGCAAAGCCACTGCAGCACAAGTTTGATCCCCGGCCAGGGAGCTGGCCCACATGGTGTGACAGACCTCCCCTGGCCAACCCGCTGCTCCCCTCAGCGGTGTATCTCGGTACATCTGTCTGTCCTGCTTCCCACTCTGTCCATGGTGAATCCTCTCACCCACCACACCTCTGGCCTGTACCCCAGCTCTGTAAGCATAAACAAATAAATCTTTAAAAAAAAAAAATCCAGTTTAGAGTAAGAAATTGACAGCTAGTCAAATTTAAAATTATATCTTCGTGTATCACATAACTTAGGAATTCCATGCCTTGAACCATGATATTTCCTACTGATTATCAAATCAGGATGATGAAAGCTGATAAAATTTATTTAGAATGGCTATTTCTCCAGTACATTTCAACTTGACATCATTTTCTAAAATATTTTTTTTTCATTCAGTATTTGTGTTCTGAACCATTTAAAACTTTTTTCCATTATGATGACTTTTTAAGAATAGAAAAGGGTCAGGTAGGCTTAAATCATGTTTCCTCCAAATATGACATATAATCTGTTCCTTCAACCTAGAGAAACAACCTCAAGGTTTTCAAATGTTTTTATATATGTGGTAAATCAGGTACCTATGAGAGTCAACAATGGCTTATTACTATATTTTATCCATGAAGCAAACTTATTTGCATTTCATTTGAATGAGAGAAAAAGAAATACATGAATAACTTACTTGTATTGTATTCCTCTCAAGTGGCATAAAGTATTCAACTGACTATAATCAATGTGCTTAGACACTTTCAAACCTAAAAAAAAAAATCAATTTAAAACATGAGTAAATTTCTGTAATCCTATTAGCCAAGTATGTAAATAGAGTTTAATTGCACACATTTATCATTGTAAAAGAAATCAATGATTACAGAAGTAAAGTATTAATAGTCTTTGTGACACAAACACAGTTGAATAGAGTGATTAAAAATAAAGAAATAATTTAATGTTTTTTGTTGTTGTCAAATCTGGCCTGGCACTGTTTTTTGTTTTGTTTTTTTTTTAATTCCAGTAAATGCTGAAGTTATCTGTATAATATATCACTTCTCTGAAAATAAGCTTCTCAGAATCCATAATTCTATATTAGAATGAGAGGCTCTACAACTCCCAACACGACAATATAAAGAAGAGTATTCTTGAAGTGTGTATCTCTCTCTCTGACACACTGGTAAATTTGACTCAATCCTACACACACCCCCAATTTTGTTTGGCTAGCCCCCTTTATTTTTTTTAAAGATTTATTTATTTATTCATACAGAGCTGGGGTACAGGCCAGAGATGCAGAGGGTGAGAGGATTCACCAGAGACAGAGTGGGGTACAGAACAGGCAGATTGGCAAAGTATACGGCTGAGGGGAGCAGCGGGCGGGTCAGGAGAGGTCTGCCACGCCATGTGGATCTCCTCCCGGGCAGGCGGGGATCAAACTCATGCAGAAGTGCCTTAAGCTTCTTTGTGCTGTGCTTTAACCCACTGCGCCACCAGGGAGGGCCCTCGCTAGCCCCTTTTTAAGTCACCTTTCAGTGTCTGATTTCAGTTGACAATTCTTTCTGAAGTTTCAGTGGAACAAATAACAAAAAATCTCTTAAGGACAGAAGTACAGTAATCATAATGAAGAAGCAAACTAACTGATTCTTCTCAATGTCAGAAAGAGCTGACCTTTTTCAAAGGAGATGGAGAGAAAAGCAGAATTTTGAGTACTATGTGCATTGTTACAATGATGGGCACTCATGTCACACGCCCTCTTCTTCCTCCAAGAGAATGAATGCTGTTAACAATGCTGTAGATCAGAAAGCAACAGTAAATACCACAAAGAACATGCATGTAATTCTTCCGTTAGTGAAAGGTATTGAGAAAATCAACAGCTTAATGCATTTTTAAAGCTCAAATGTACTCATTGATCACATCTGAATAATCAAGAATTGAAATTTGACATGTATAAATGTATCCATTTTATTTTCAGGTTACTAAATTATAAAAATTGACATTTTGATCGCAAGATACAGACATTTTGCTATCTATATTACTCATTAATATGAAAAATCAAAAAGTTACTTAATTGCATTTTTATTACATGAAATTATTTAAATGAGTCATGTTACAGCTCTAGCTATAGTATACTAATATTTCTGTATAGAAACATGTATAAAATACTAACCATAGTAGGTTTTTAGAAATATGAGTAAAAAGGAGCTGCTAAGAAATATTTCTCTATTTCATTTTCCTGACACATTTTAAGATACTACCCTGGTGACTATATGACATAATGAGATGGAAGAGAAATTCTGACTGAAAAAAAAAAGGTCCTAAAAGAAACCTTCTCCTTCAAATTAAACTAGCTGATAAAAAATATTAAATAAAAATCACAGAAGAGAGATCAGAGAACATAAGAACAAGAATTCAAGGATAGAAGAGAAAAACTGAAATACTATTTTCGCTTTTTATCTAAAAATCTCTTTCCAGAAAAAAAGTTAGAGCATTTAAGGTTAAGATATTACTAGGCTCAATGCAAAACTGTAACCTGCTGTACAATGCTGAATTAGAAGAACATTTTATATTTCACTAAAAATTTTTTTTTCCTTTACTGGTCCTCAGTTCTGAGAAATAGGTATCAAAAGGATTTTTTTTTTTAATGGAACATTTTAGCCCCAATTTTCCTTTTTTTATTTATTAAAGTAACATTAGTTTACAACACTACATGACTAAGAAAAGCAGATTCATGCCTCCTACTGTATGTTACCACACCACACCCGCCACTTGAAATCATAAAATACAGGGCCCTCCCTGGTGGCGCAGCGGGTTAAAGCGCAGCACTGAGAAGCTAAAGCCACTTCCGCATGAGTTCGATTCCCGCCTGCCCCGGAGGTGACCACATGGCGTGGCAGACCTCTCCTGGCCCGCCCGCTGCTCCCCTCAGCAGTGTACTTCGTCGATCTGCCTGTTCTGCTCCCCATTCTATCTTTGGTGAATCCTCTCACCCTCTGCATCTCTGGCCTGTACCCCCGTTCTGTATGAATAAATAAATAAATCTTTAAAAAAAAATACATAGACAAAAACATAAGCAAACACTCACAATACTAGCTTCAATGATGTCTTTGAAGCATCAACTCCAGTGGCAAAGGAAAAAAAAGCAAAAATATACAAATAGGACAATATGAAACTAAAAAGCTTCTGCACAGCAAAAGAAACTATTATTAAAGCAAAAAGACAACCCAGTGAATGAGGGAAAATATTTGCGCATGATACATGCCACAAAGAGTTAGTAATATACAAGGCTTTTTACAAAAGGTGTGCTGAACATTAGAGAGGTTGTCTTTGCAGTAATATAGGAGGAGGTCATCAAATGTGTGACCACTCGTTGGCCTGGGCAGGAGAGGCTACTCCGTTGTTCTTGAAATGTGTGTTCTGTCCACTATTCCCCTACAAGGAACTATCAAGGGCCCCTCCTTGAGAGAAGCAATGTTTTTGAGATCACGTGGGCAATAGAGGTAACCTGAACGGGAAAGGGAGAAAGAAGAAAGAGGAGACAACATAAACTGGGGTGCTGCGGTAGGGATGATGATGGTGCGAAGAGGTATGACCCTATAAACTGAATGATATATAACGTTGTAAACTAATACTCAATACAATTGAGAAATAAAACAATATGAAATATCAATAAAGGCTAAAGAGTTAAGAATACATAAATACAGACATAAAGATTACACCATATAGGGGAAAAAATGATCACAATGAAGATAGATATTATTGTGAAAGTTGTTCCTGAATAAGAAAACAGAAATGTAATGGAACAGAAAAAAAAACAGTTGAAAAATTTAAGCCAAGAACAGTTTTCTCATATAAAGTATTGAATCTGAAGAATTAAATATAAGATATAACTCAGAAAGGGTAAGGAAAAGCATAATACATGATCTACAAAGGGAGCAGATGTCTTAAATGTTATGATGTTAGAAACTAAATGTTATTATGTTTCTATGATAAATTATTTTAGCACCTAGTCAAAAAAAAGGAATATTACAACTATAAAATTCAGTTTGGCCAGAGCCTTCCCCACAGCAAAGTCCTGGCAAAGCGTAAGGCAAAATTAAGTTATTGCAAAACAGTAATACCCAAATTTGATGAGAGCATGAAAAATAAAACTAGAGACAACTTAATAAATAATAATTAACCTTATATGTATATGGTGACTAAAAATACATTAACAGAGTAATATCACACAATTACTTACTTGGATAAAGTAATATTTTTCCAAGTAACTCAAATTTCAGTTATAAAATATAGTCATATAAATAAACACAATAATCAAAAATTTTAAATTTGTCTCCAAAGATATGGAATAACTGTTCAATAAAATTTAATACTGGGCCCTCCCTGGTGGTGCAGCAGGTTAAAGCACAGCACTAAGAAGCTAAAGCCACTTCAGCACGAGTTCAAACCCCAGAGGTGACCCACATGGCACCACAGACCTCTCCTGACCTGCCCGTTGCTCCAGAGCCTCAGCAGTATACTTCATCGATCTGCCTGTTCTGCTCCCCACTCTGTCTTGGGTGAATTCTCTTACCGCCCCTACACCTCTGGCTTGTACCCCAGTTCTGTATGCATAAATAAATAAATCTTTTAAAAAAATTAATCCTGTTCTACCCCAACACAAAATGGGCAAAACTACAAAGATACATCTTCAAAAGGAAATGCAAACAGCCAACAGGCATATGAAAAAATGCTCAGTATCACTTATAATAAGGGAAATGCAAATCAAAACTACAATGAGATACCACCTCACACTAGTGAGAATGGCACATCTTAAAAAAACAAGCAACAGTAAATGTTTGTGAGGATATGGAGAAAAAGGAACACTCCTACACTGCTGGTGGAGATTTAGTCTGGTGCAACTACTATGGAAAGCTGTGTGGAGGTTTCTCAAGCTGCTAAAATGAAGCTTCCATAAGATCCAGCAGTTCCAATCCTAGATTCCTAGATATCTACCCAAAGGACACAAAATCAATAACTTAAAAGGACACCTGCACCCCTATGTTTACTGTTGCCCTATTTACAATAGGGAGGATATGGAATCAACTCAAATGCCCAAAAATAGAAGACTGGATCAAGAATTGTGGTATTTATACACAATGGAATATTACCCAGTGATCAAAAAAAGATAAACTCATGCCACTTGTGGTTACATGGATGGAACTGGAAAAGATCATATTTAGTGAAATAAGCCAGAAAGAAAAAGAAAAATATCAGATGGTTTCACTCATAGCAGGAGTGTTAAGGGACCAGAGGGAAAAAAAATTGTATATATACACACATATATAAATATTTACATATTTACATCTATATATAGAGAGAGTAATTGCAATAAAGTAAAAAAGAATATCAACTAAAACTATAAATCAGAGATATTCTAGGGGGAGGGGAGATGAACAAGATCAAAACTAGGGTGGGAAGAGCATAGGGGACTATGGTGCTGGCACATGGGTGAAGTGGTAGTAGGAAGTCCATGGGGATTATAACAGAGATGAAAAAATGTACAAAATGAAGAATAATATAAAAACATGTAGCTATAAAGTAAAATATAAAAGAAAAAACATATCATGATTTTTTTCCAACAGCCCAATAATTCCAGAGCTTTTCCAGCAGTGAAAAAGAAACTTCCCAGGTGTGTGGAAATCACTAGTCTACTTTATCTTTATGTATATGCTAATGCTGAACATTTCAAATAAATGAATATCATCTATGAAAAAAATTCAATCCTGTTTTT